GCGCGGGGTCAGGGTCGGGGACGCGGCCGAGCGATGGCTGCTCCGGGGTCCGGCCCGGGGCGCGGCCGGGTGCTTACCTGCGGCGCCCAGCGGGACAGCGGCCGGGGCGGGGGCCGGAGCCGGGGCGCTGGGCGCGGGGCGCGGGGTCCGGGCGGCGCAGCCTGCGCGCCGCGCTGCGCACATGCGCGCTCCCGCCCCTCCCACCTTTGACAGTTTTACTGTGGGGGGGAGGGGGCGAACTCTCGCGGTATTCCTGCAGCCGCTCCGCGACGGGGAGGAACGGGTTGGGGGGAGGGGGCCCATCGGCCCGGCCGGCCGGCCCCCTGTCCCCGCTCCCGTCTCCGTCGGTCAGGGCTCCGGTGCAAAGTGGCCAGTTATGCCGCCCGTAGGGCAAGAGGCGTTTTTCAGCCAATGGGGTAAACTGAGGCACTATAGGGGCTCTGGGAACTGCTCGAAGCCCAGGGTACGCGGATCCAAGCGACCAGATGCCTCTAGGTGCTGGCTCTGGGAGGGTGCAGCCATGGAGACTACCGTCCTCTGGGAGTCGAACTCCTGGCCCCTGGGAGTCTTGGGCCTGCAGAGCAGGATCTGGGTGTCTTCCAAAGAGCCCCGTGGCCACACTCAAAGGATTGCCTGGCTCCTAGCAGTGCTGGGGCAGTTTGAGGCCATGGGCCCTATTGGAGCTACTGACCATTGGACCAGCCTCCGTCTGCTTCGGGTGGAGGTGATTCTAGGCCAGCCGTGCTTTGCTCCACGGTACCCCAGAACCCGGGCCTGTGAGGGCACCCCAGTATCAGGTCTGGGGTAAATGGACCCTACCAGGACTTGGGAATAAATGAAGTAGGGGAAGAGGTACTAGTTGGGAAACAGTTGCAAGGTGCTCCCTTCCCCACCCCCTACTTCTCTCCCGACTTCACACTTCTGTGTACCCTGGAACAGGTTGGGTGCATTGCTTGGGGGCAGGGCACAAAAGGTCAGATTGGGGTCTGCCTGTTCTCACAGGGATTCTTGGGACCTGCTTTTCTAATGGCTGGCACAAAGTGCTCACAGAGGGGTGGGGGCCCTCTGTGCAGGGTTCAGTGGGTTAGAACTTCCCTTGGAAATCAGAGCCAGAGAAAGGCCCACGTGACCCCAGGAGGAAGAGGGAGGGTCCTGTCCTTTCCTTATTGATGGAGCCCACACTGGGGGCAGGACAATGCAGAATTTGGGGAGGGGTCAGTGTATGAGATGCAGACAAGTTTGTCATATTTCTCCATGTAAGCCTGCATGTTCACGTGTGTAACACATCAATGCCTATTGGTAGGTGTGTGTCTGAGTGACCATATGTGCTGGGCTGTGTCCTGTGTGGACGACTGATCTCAGCGTATGTCTCTGTGTCCTGTACTAGTGGAAAAGGATACCTGTCTGTATGTTAATATCTGGATGACTAGATGCGAGGTGTGCGTGGGTGGAGGGACACCTGTATCTTAGATGTGTGTCCAGGCTACCGCATGCCTGGATGTCAGGACATTGTGTGCTGTGCCCCCTGTGTTTCTGTATGTGAGGGGGTCATTGTGTGTCAGGGTGTGTACTGTGGGTCTGGATACTAGCATCCTTGTGTCTCTGTGTGTCCAGACTCCGGTGGTCAGTTTATGCCTCTGTATTACCGTGTGTCTGGTTGCCGTGTGAGTACCCGTGTCGGGGGTGTCGTGACCTGTGTGTTTCTCATGTTAGAGCATTACCCTGTGTGGGGCGCTTAACGGGGGCCCTCCAAGATTGCCACGTCAAATCCCTGGAACCCCTGAATGGGACCTCATTTGGGAAAAAAAGGTCTTTGCAGATTTGCTTAACTGAAGGGTTTTGAGATGAGAAGATCATCCTGGATTGTCTAGGTGGTCCTTAAATCCGGTGACAAGTTTCCTTGTAGGAGGAAGATTTGACACAGACAGAAGGTGATGTGAGCACCGAGGCTGGGACAGAGTGACATGCCACGAGCCCAGGAGTCCCTGGGGCAGCCACAGAAGCTGGGAGAAGTGAGGAAGGGTTCCTATGCGGGGCTCCAGGAGGCAGTGTGACCCTGCTGGGTTTCAGACTGGTGGCCTGCATTACTGGAACAAAATCCGTTTCTGTTGTGTTAAGCTTCCCAGTTGTGCTCATTTGTCACGGCAGCCCCAGGAAAGTAATGCACCTCTGTGCCTGCGTCTGGGTGCAGTCCACAGGGCTGAGCCCAGGATTCCAGCCCTCTGCCTCTTTCCCCACCTGGCCCTGGGGTAAACAGGAGCCCTGTCCAGATGCGACGCCACTGCCCCCTAGTGGCCCCGTGGAGGCACCTGAACTGGGCACTGGCACCCCCTCCTCCCACAGCCAGGGCCCCTCCACCCAGGGCTCTTCCCGCTCTCAAACACCCAGTTGGCTGGAGCCGAACACACACTTGGGGCACTTGAGAACCAGCTTTATTTCTGGTCTTTTTGTCAGAATATAAAAAAGCGCAAAACAAAGAAGACAAGACAAGAGCATGGGGGCATGGGGGCAAGACAAAAATGGGAGAAGGTGGGGGCGGTGATAGGAAGGACCCTCCGGAAAAGACAATGCCGTGATGGTACAAGGTGGGCTGGGACAATCAGGGTGGCCAGACAGGACACGGGGGCTTCCTATATCGGCCTACAGGATGGGGAGCACCAGGCCAGTTGTCCAAATTCCACTCGGGACCTGCAGCAACCAACCTCCCGCCTGGAGGCCAGCTCAGGGCACAGAGAAGAGGCTGGAAGCTCAGCCTCATCTGTCCCTGAGATTTTCAGAGTTCCCTAGGGGAATGGGAAGGCAGAGGAACAAGAGGGCGGGGGCTACCAGGACCACCCTCGCTGTCCCTCTGCTGGGCAGCACCAGTCCCAAACCTTGGGCCCCCTGCCCGCGGAGTGGCTGCTCAGGGGCTGGCTGGGTCCCTGGTGGGTGGGTGTGGGGGAAGTAGCCCTCAGGACAGTCTCTTCTATGAATTCGGATTTTCCTGGGAAAGGAGCAGTGAGAACACACATGCCCCCAACTGTGCCTCAGGGCAGCCCCCCAACAAATGTTGGGGGAGCAGGAGCTGGACTCCCAAACCCAAGGCCACAACATGGCTGAGGCTAATCCTGGCTATGGGGTCCTCATGGTGCTGTGTTAGGTCTTAGGCACCTGAGCAATCCCCAGACCTCTCTTGCTTCAGGTCCTGGGAATAGATGGGGGTGTGGTGAGGGTCTCAGAAATCATGAGGGAGAGCTCCCGGCGGTGCTGCTGACCATGGGGGCGGGGTGGCCCTGGCCAAAGGGAGCCTGCACAGTTTATCCCACCCGTGCCGGCAGTCCTCTAGGTGCTGGGTGAAGGTGCAGAACTGGACAAATGGGCAGACACAAACCTCTTGCCCTGGGGAGGGCAGGATGCCCAGAGGGAGCGTGACTCAGCAGGCAATAGGGGTGCTGACATCAGTGTGGGTGAAGGGAATATAAATAACAAAGAGACTCCCTGGGAGTCTAGGGGCATAACCAGACCCTGCTCTGACTCCAGGTAGCTGCCCCGCACGCTGCCAGCAGCACCAGAGGGTGGGTTTGGGCTCAGGTCCTGGGAGGAAGGGCCACACCCGAGCAGCCGGCACCTGCTCACAGCCCAGAACGCACAGCCAGAGATGGCACTCCTGGTCCCGCCTGTCCACTGGGCGGGGCTCAGCCCCTGGCGCCTCTGGCGGGGTCCGAGAGGGGCTGTGTGCCCGGTCTGCATCGTCCTTGCCACAGGCTTTGGTCACAGTGCTGGGGTCCGGGCTTCAAGCCCCAGGCAGCGGCTAGGACGTGTTTCCGAAAGAGGCTATGGGGTGGATGGGGGTGAGGACGGGTGGAGATCTCGGGCATCTCCGTTCTGCCCTGGGCACAGGACAGCCCTGACTGGCGCCTGCGGCTGCCCCCTGAGATCAGCCCCCCCACTCCACACTTGGGCCTCCCAGCCCAGCTTCTCCCCCACCCCCATGCCTCCCGGCACTCCTGGCTCCCCCCACTGACCTTGGCTGAGCAGCTGCAGGCTCCGCCCCTCCTCGCGCACCTGCAGGCGCAGCACCTGCTGTAGCACCTCTTGCCGCTGTGCTTCCTGCGCCAGCCCCATCCGCTGCAGTTTCTCCCCATTCAGCCGCAGCAGCGCCCGGCCTGAGAGCGAGGGGGAGAGGGCCGAGCCAAGGTCAGCATCCAAGGGGCATCAGGAGCCGAGGCCAAGAGAGAGGTGGGGGGAGGGGCACACAGAGAGACTCAAGGACGGAGAGAGCAAGGCAGAGACACAGAGATTTAGAGAGACAGGAAGAGGCAGTGGAAAGGCAAGGGCGGGCAGAGCCCGGGCAGAGAAACACACTGGGGAGACTGAAGAGACTGGAAGGAGAGGTCGGCTCAGCAGGAAACAGAGAAGGGAGGGAACAAGGGCTGGCTGGGGGGGGTTCCCTATGCCCCTCCCCACACCCCGCCCCCAAGGCACCTGTGATGGCATGCTGGGAGAAGGCCTCCACATAGACGAGGTAGTTGTGGGGACAGTGCTTCTTGAGCCACTTGCACACGTCCTGCTGACTCCACAGGACCACAGGCCTCGTCAGGCCGCCCAGGGAGGGGCTTGTGTGGTACAGGCCACAGTGGTCAGAGTACAGCCGGCCCTGCAGAGCAGATGGGTGGCAGCTGGGGTGAGGTGGTGGGAAGGGCAGGGGCTGAGGTGGGTATGGTGGGTGGGTACCTGGGGGGCCTCTGTGCCAGGCTGCTGCAGGAGCTTGACAGGCCGGCCACCAGCGGCCCTCTGGCTACGGGAGTCGTGCCACGTGAGGCTGGTGCCTGGCGTCCGAGGCAGGTGGCAGGGGATGCTCTCAGCAGACACCGTGTGCTCCAGGAGGGTTCGGCAGAAGCTGAAGTGTGCAGCGGCTACAGAGCATGGGTGCCTGATCAGAGTGGTCAGGGGCAGGGCCAGAGGATCATCTCTCTGCAAAACAGCTCCCTGCTCAACCCATCCTCCCTCCAACAAAGGAGAGGGTCCCAAGCCCCCAAAGGTAGAAAGGAAGTGTGCAAAGGCTGTCTTGAGTACCCCACCCAGTCCAAAGATGACGAACTGGGAACATCTTTCCTCTTCTGAGTGCATCTGGGGAGCAGGATGGATTCTGCTTAGATTAGAGAGACAATGTGCCCACCAGGGAGCGTAAGACTTATAGCCTGGTGAGGGCCTATCCTGAGACAGGCCTGATGTCATCCTTGCTTTGGGCTGATGAATGCTGAACCAGACCAGGGTTCAGGGAACCCAGACCAGGGAACCAGACCAGGCCTGTATGTCCTGGGAGACCCTGTGCGATGGTGACCCTCTGAGTATGCTGCCTGCCCATCACCACTGAAGGCACCCAGGCTCTGCGGCCATACCTGGCATTTGAGACTTGGCTCCTGCCCTGCTGTGCTCATCTGCCAACCCATCAACAAGAAGCCTGAATGAACTCTGGGCAAGCCGGCAACCAGGATACCTCCTCTTCCACCTGCCACAGGGCCCTTGGCCCAGGACAGCTCCTGTGCATGCTGGGCATCCAGCGGGCATGGGCTGCTCAGCGCAGGTGTGTAGGGCCCAGCCATTTGCTCAGAGAGCCATAGTGACAGCTTGTGCCCTCTCTTCCCACACACACTTCATTACACTCAAGTTGTAGTTTCACCGTCATTTCTGCCTTTGTTGCTCACATGGCTCACAGGAGGCAGACACCTGAACGGTTGCCTCCCAGCCCTTGCACAGGTCTTGGCACACAGGAGGTGCCCAGAAACATTGTGGATGGATGGGTGGATGGAGAAAGGCTCTGTGTGGTGTCCACAAGTCAGTAGAGCCCTGGGGAGAGGGAGGAACCTGGGCCCAGGCTTGCCCTCATCTTTACAGCATCTAGGTCCCAACTCAGCAGGCAGACGCAGGTTCCTGGTCAGGGCCCTTGCCTCACTGGCTCTCAGCACTAGAATGAGAGACCCTCTCTCTCTCATGGACACACCTCAAGCCCTCAACTGAGGGCAGGGTTTGGCGATGTGTCCAGGAGGTCTCAGTAATGGGGAAAACCAATCACTCCCCCTCCTTCTACCCCTTAAGATTCCTTGGATTTAGCAACCCCTCTTCATTCTTGCAACTTCCAGGGAATTGAATGACCCCAGGTGACTCTAAATTTGAGATCCAGGGTCAAACAGAGGGTGTGGCGGGTGTGGTCGCTGCCCTGATGTGGCTTCTAATATCGTGGAAAAAGATTTATTCTAAGCTGGCATCTTTCAGGGCACAGGTTCCTGAGCCACTTGGCCTCACATCGCTGGGCCCCACGGAGCCCGGCCAGGCCAGGGCAGGAGCCTGAAGCTCTGGGCGAACCAGTTGGACGCCACAGCGTGCGCTGCACCTGTCCGGGTCCAGCCGGGCCCCGCCCATTTCCTGCCCTTGCTCGGGGAAGGATCTCCGTCTTTCCGTCTGTCCGCCCGTCGTTCCGAACGTCCCTCCCTCTCAGCCCCAACGTCAGAATTCCAGCATAAAATGGGGCGGGGGCGCCCAAGCCCGGCTGTGGCCTCGGCTCTCTCTCGGCCCCACTGCAAGCGCTAGGGAAGGAAGGGCGCGCAAAGGAAAAGCTGACCGCGGGATGGTGCCGGCCTAAGGACAGGAGCCCCAGCGGGTAACCTCCTCCAAGCCAAGGGTGCGCTGATCCCCAAGGCCTGAGGCCACCCCCCCCAGCTCAGGACAAAGACACCCAGGGACCCCGTTCGGCCAGGACGCGCCCCCCACTCCGCGCCAAGCCGTTACTTGGGAGTCCGCCAGATCCCGCCCCCGTCCCTCTCGGTCCCCCCAGCCCCCAACCCGCGACATCCCCGCGCCCTGGTCCAGCCCTGCTCACCGTCCACATCCCGGCGCTCCCCGAAGCCGGCACGCACAGCCCCGGCGCGGCCTCGCGGGGGGCTCAGCTTGGTCCTTAGCTCCGTGAACATGGGGCCCAAGGATCCCGGGCCGGTCCACACGCCCCTCGCCGGGGGCAAGGCGGCCCGTGTGGCCGGCGGGGAACGCGCGCCGCTGCCCCGCCCCAGCCGGCCCCGCGCCCGAGCCGGTCCCCGCGCCCGGCGAGCCTGCGCGGCGAGGCACCTGCCTGTGAGCCCCAAGTGCCGGGCGCGCTCCGGGAGCTCCGAGGTGTGTCGGCGGCGCGCAGGTCTGCGTATGCAAAGGGTGTCTGCCGGGGTGTAAGGGGCGATCTCGCACACCTCAGCATGGCTTCAAGGACGAGTGCCTCTGTGCACCTTTAGGGGTCCAGACGTCTCAAGGGGCTTCTGAGGCAGAGAAATAAGGAAGCGATCTTCCCCGAGCCGAGGGAGGGGGCAGGAGGGGAGCACCCTACCTGCTCCCGGGATCATCTGTCTACTGGGGCCCAGGGTCAAGGGCCAGACCGACCCCTCTCAACCATTTCCCTCCATTCTCCTACCTCAATTTACTGACTCCTTTATTCACGCATTCTCCAGACCTCTCCAAAGGCACTTGCTTCCCCAGACCCTCTCTCTCTCTCTCTTTTAAGATTTTATTTATTTATTTGACAGTGAGAGAGGGAACACAAGCAGGGGGAGTGGGAGAGGGAGAAGCAAACTTCCTGCCGAGCAGGGAGCCCGATGCTGGGCTCCATCCCAGGACCCTGGGATCATGACCTGAGCCGAAGGCAGACGCTTAACGACTGAGCCATCCTGGAGCCCCAGACCTTCTCTTAACCTCCACCACAATGTGAACTCCAGGAAGACAGCCAGTCAGGGTCTCTCCCCTTCCCTCTGTAGCCCCAGAGTGACTCAGTGCCCAGGATGTGGCTCTGAAAGCAGTTTGGCTGGGAATGGGGAGGAGAGAGAAGCTCCGAGGAGGCTGCAGCAGGCAAGAGGGAAGCGTTTGCTCCAGGACCCCACTGAGAAGTGCTAGGGTGGGCTGGAGGCTGCCCGGTGCAGAAGGCCACACTTGCTACCACCTGAGTTATGCCTGCTCTGCCAGAAGTCTGGGTGTAAGTGGGAGCAGCTGTCCCACAGAAGGAGCAGAGGTACACACAGAGATCCAGAAGTGTACGCAGAGTAGTCAGTCATGTGTGTCCACCAGGTCATCCGACTAGTGCCCAAGCCCACGACACACTCAAGTAGAGATTTGCACGGAATTCACCCACGTGCTGTGGCCACGTGTTCCCGGCATATCTCCTGCATTTATTTATTTTCGCCAATTAGCCTCCACCCTCACTGCCATGTTCAGGGTATGGTGGGGGGGTTGGGGTGGCGGCGGAGCCTGTACGGGGGTACCGACGCCTGAACTGCGGCTCCGGAAAATGAGCGCTAAGAGCTAGAGCCTGCACACCGGGGCACGCGCAGACAGGTGTGCCCACAATCACGACACATACACCGCACACCAGCTGTCCACAACCAGACAGGTGTGCGGCACCGCTCAGATGTGTTACGGTCTGCCCGGTGGCCGAGACAACTCTGAAGGGAGAGGTGAATGACTGGGCCTGATTCTGAGGGGTCCTTGGCGGCTGGGCTGACTCAGAGAGGGAGGGGGCCCATGGCTCCCGCTCGTACAGGCGGGTCTCCTCGGAAATGTGTCGAAAGCACGCAGTAAGTAAAAGATGCCCCACGCTCAGTTTTGAGATCCTGCAGGGTTTCTCCAGGATGAGGTCGCTCCCGCACGTCTCCTGCAGGGCCGCCCGCACGCCTCGCCACGGTCAGGCGCCTCCGCGCATGCGCCTATCAGATCCCCTCGCCGCAACCGCAACCGGAAGTCGCTTTTCAGGAACTTCCGCCCGGGGAAGGCAGAACGGGCGGGGCTTCGTGCAGCCCGCGAGTTCTGCTTCCGGGGCGCGGGTGACGCGGGTTCCGCTTGCTGTTCCCGCTGAGGAGCCGGAGTCGTCAGTGGTCTTTTTCGCCTTCGGCCGGCCGCGGCTTCCGTCCCGTCCCTTCCCGGCTCCTAGTCATCACCGGCGCCATGAACAAGAAGAAGAAGCCGTTCTTGGGCATGCCCGCGCCGCTCGGCTACGTGCCGGGGCTAGGCCGGGGGTGAGGCCTGGGGCGAATCGCGCTCGGGGGGCGGGATCGGGCGGCGCGGGCCCCGGGGCCCGGCGGGCAGAGCGGGTCGCGCGCGCTTGGGGCAGGGGCGGGGGGCGGGCCCGGGCCAGGCCGTCCTCGCTCCCCGCACTTGTCTCGGGGAGGCCGTGAGATGCGGCTGGCGACGGGGAAGACGAGGAGGACAAATTAGGGTCTGTGGCCACACTGTCTGGAAGGTATCACTGGGCTTGGCTTACCGCTCGTTGGAGGAGGCAGTGCTTTGGGGCCAGGGCAGAGCCGGGTACCAGTGCTGCTTGCCCCCGAGATGTGAGACTCGGGCTTGAGCCGTGCGTTGGCTGTGAGCCCGTGTTTGGTCTCTGAGATGCGGAGTGGGTGACTCCTCGAGCTGGGGCGGGAACTCCGTGGCTCCTCTCCCCAAGCCGGGCAGACCCCCACCCTCGTCTGAAGCGTGAGCGGTCCCTTCCCCTGTGCTGTTGGTCGTCATGCACGGCTCAGTCCTGGCAGGGACCGGGTCTCCCGTGCCTGGCGCACAGATGACTACCATAAATTGTCGAGTAAATGAGCCATCATCGTCATTCTGTCTGGTCCTTCATTCGTTTACAACAAGTATTGGGTTTCCTTGTGGGGGTGTGGTGTTAGCGTCTGTGGGGAATACAGTCTTACTTATGGATACCGTCTCCCGAGGACCTGCAGTTTACTAGGAGATGTGAGAGATTTGCATTATTAAGTACATAAAGAGAAACATTTAGAAGTCTGGGGTGGCAGCGATCAGGAATGCTCTGTGGAATGGTAGCATTTGAGCCCCATTTGACAGAGCTGCATTTAGGGATGTAGAAATGTGGTAGGGTTAAAGGAGGAATTGACCTTTTGTGTGTTGGGTAGTTAAGAAAAAAAAGACCGGCATGGAGGAAGATGAGGGACTCTCAAGGAGTCTGTGTGAATGGAGTGTGTGGCGAGTGGTGTCAGAGGGGCCAGAGCTGTAGGAGAGACAGGCTTCAGAGTGCCGTGGTCAGAGCTGTGTTGAAGCAACAGGAAGGCTAGAGGCAGGGTGGCTGACTAGGTTCCCAGCTGTGATGGGAGTCAAGGTTTGGGGAGGACGATTTCAAAGGTGGACTCAGTAGAACTTGATGACTGATAGGGTGGAGAAGAAGGGAGAGCTGATGGTGTAGTGCCTGCTGTGGTACTTGGGATGGCCCTGCAGTCATCAGCTGAGACAACTCAGGGCCGCTGCAGGATGCGCACAGAAAAGGAATTCTGATTGAGTCAAGTTGGGTTTGAGGGCCCGGTTGGATGTGTTTTGGGGGAGATGATCAGCAGGTTGTTAGAAATGGGAGGATGGAAGTTGGGACGGGGGAGGTCTGATGCTCTGGTGAATCTCTCAAGGAGAGTATGGGGTGGTAACCTCAGGGTAGGTCAGAAGGTTTCTCACCTGAAGAGAACAGACTAGTAACGTTTGAGAGTGCAGCGTGCCTCGTTTGTTGCTCCCTGGATCTTCTGCAGTTTCTCAGAGATGTTAAAAAAGGAGGTGTTATTAAGTGAGGACTGTGGAGGGAAGAACAAAGGAACAAGGTCACCCAGGTAAATGGGTGTCTTGGGGTCTCCTGCAGTGCCACTGGCTTTACCACCCGGTCAGACATTGGGCCCGCCCGCGATGCAAATGATCCTGTGGATGACCGCCATGCACCCCCAGGAAAGAGGACCGTCGGGGACCAAATGAAGAAAAGCCAGGCTGCGGATGATGATGACGAGGATCTGAATGACACCAACTATGATGAGGTGACTTGTGCACCCCCAGCCAGTCTCCAGGAGGGCTGACCAGCTTCTTAAACCAGTGCTCAGGGAGGTGGGCACGCCTAGTATTTCAGTCTGCTTATGGGGTATCTTTAGCACAGTGTGAGGGGGGAGCAGGGAGTCATAGAAAGAAATGTACATTTTGTTGTCTCTTCAGGAGAGATGTACTTGCATTGGGGTTTTGTCTCGGCTGGTCCTTGATGAAAATTCTAGGTGGAATTGGTGATGATACCGTGATTTATTTTATCTCAGTGCATACTCTCTTACTTAACTAGTATTTGGTCAATTGAAGTTTTCTTCAGGTGTGTTCCGACAGAATTTTTGCTCAGAGGAAAAAGATTTTTAAAATTTCAATTCTGAAATGATTTTAAACTTCCAGGGAACTTGCAAAAATAGTATGGACAGGGCGCCTGGGTGGCTCAGTCGGTTGAGTGACTGCCTTCGGCTCAGGTCATGATCCTGGAGTCCCGGGATCGAGTCCCGCATCGGGCTCCCTGCTCAGCGAGGAGCCTGCTTCTCCCTCTGAGCCTCCCCCCTTTCATGTACTCTCTCTCTCTCATTCTCACTCTCTCAAAATAAATAAGTAAATCTTTAAAAAAAAAAAAATAGTTTGGACAATTCCTGCATACCTTTCATAAGCTTCTCTCCATCTTACACGACCTTAGTGCAGTTACTGACACAGCACTGTTAGCTGCTCTGTAGGCCTCACTTGAATTCCACCAGTTTTTCATTGGTGTCCTGTTCCTGAGCCAGGACCCTGCATTGCACTTAGTTGTGTCTCTTAGTGTCTTCCCATTGGGGTAGCTCCTCCATCTTTCGTGCCCATGACACCTTTTTTTTTAAGATTTATTTTTATTGTTTTTTAGAGAGAGCGGTGCACACACGCACGCACGCAGGCGCGCGCACACGCACACACACAGTGGGGGAGGGGCAGAGGGAGAGGGAGAGAGAATCTCGAGCAGGCTCCCTGCTGATACTGAGCCCGGAGCCCGATGTGGGGCTCCATCTCACGACCCTGAGATCATGAGCTGAGCCAAAATCAAGAGTCAGATGCTCAACCAACTGAGCCACCCAAGTGCCCCTCATGCCCCCCCCGCCCAGTGACACATCTGAAGAGTACTGGTGAGTTATTTTGT